GCCTGAACTGGACAAAGGATCAACTCTCAGTTCCTGAAAAGAAACTCTTAATTACTCTGTTGATAAGATAGGGTCGGTTGAACTGGTCCTAATGGGCCCGTGGTTATGGCATCACCATATAAAAATAACTCCTATTGGGATTTTTTTGCAAAATGTAAAAAAAAAATTCAGTAAAACCATCTTCTAATGAACTAAGCTGAGAACTTTCATATATATTATTAAAACTTGCTATTTTTAAGTTCTTATAAATTTAAATATTACAAAGTCTCAAGCTCTAGGTATCATCATATGAAGTATTCAAAGCCAACGTATGATAATGGAATATTCCATTATGGCATAATATGCTTTATAATGTGACAATGTGGCACTTTATAAAATAAAACAAAGCTTATAAAAATCTCATTACTATCTTGGTTTCTACTTCAAACACACTGACATAAAACAAAGTAGTCAAATAATAGTATGTTATCAGTGACATAAACAAAGGCGAGAAGTCCACGCAGGAAGTTGTGAGCCAAGGTCTAGGGCACTGTCATTGGGACAGAGAGAAGGGGGAGCTGTGTAGCAGGTAAAGTCCGTTAACAATGGAGATGGCTTTGGGGTGAGCACTGAGGACAAGGGAGAGGCTTAAGTAAAAGAAAAGTCCTAGGTTTCTGACATAAGCACCTAGGAGACTAACGGGCATTTCATGAGCCAACGAGGGGTAGAAAGAACAGAGGTTGAGTACATTTTGGAAGTGTTGAGTTTGAGGTGCGTGGAAAACATCAAATAGGGGGGAGATGGTAGACAGGTATACCCATAAGAAGCAGCATTCAGTGAGGTAGGAGGAAAAACAACAGAATGTGTTCTTCAAAATGCAAGAGAGGGATGGCTTGGTCTATCCTCCACACTCACAAAGCACTTGAAAATGCAACTCCAATAGCACTTAACTCATGGCATTAGTTATTTGTGAGTGTATCTACAATTCAGAATTGAGTTCTGTGAAGGCAGGAACTACATCTTATTTGACTCTCTATGCTTTAATGAGCTTAGCACTGGGGGGTTTGTCAAATAGTTGGTGTTCAGAAAATGCAGAAGTGATGCTAAAATGAATGAACAAGTGACGAGGCACCCAGTGGAAGGGCAAGGCATTCCAGGTGCAGCAAGCAGAGCGAAGAGAAGAAGAAGAGAAAAGCAATTATTCCTCTTTATTTCCAGGCTCCAGGATCTCTCAAGCCATGGAAGAAAGCTCTTGTGCATTGAGCCAGGCCAAGACAATTCAGAACCTCCTTCCTACACGAAAGCTGACAGCATACTGGGGAGAAAAGCCCTTACAGAAGTGAATACAGCCTCTCTTGTGAGGGGCTGGTGGATGGTCCTTAGGTCTTGAACGTGTTGGCACCTCATCAAGAAGAGGTGGTAATACAAACTCATCTTTAGCTGGGGCCTCTCGGACTGAGATTCATGTGGAATGAAATCATTCCAGCCACTTTAGGAGAGGCAATTTGTGAAAAAGTTTGCCCACCCTCCCCTCTCCTCTCCAGCTAATTTCCCTAACCTACTTCTCCTCACTAACTCATTATCCTCTTCTGCATTTGAACTCATGAATTGTCTACAAGCTTGTTGATTATTGTCATTGCTGGCTGCTTTTGCTTTGTTGTGATTTTAATGAGTTCAAACGACAGAAATGATGGGGAAAGTGAGGTCATATGTTTATGTGATGGTCGATCAAATTGGCTATCTACAAATGTGGCTCATTTGTACATCTTCAGTTTTTTTTTTTTTTCAGTAAGTGAAGTTATTTTATTGATGTTTTAATGGTTTCTAACATTGTGAAATTTTGGGTTGTACATTTTTGTTTGTCCATCACCATATATATGACTCCCTTCACCCCTTGTTCCCACCCCCCACCTCCCCCCCATCCCCACTGCCCCTGGTAACCACAGTCCAGTTTTCTCTTGTACATCTTCAGTTTTTAAAAGGACCATTTCCAACTCTCAAACATTAAGTTAACTTTCAAATCATATCCCCCAATATTTTGTTTATCTCATATTAACAGTAAAGTCTAGGTCAAAGTCTGTACTACATTATTTTAATTATTGTTGCAAGGTGTCAGGCTGACTTTGGAAGAGAGGGAAACCTAGAGAAAAAACACTATGTAAGATATGACTTCTCCCATCTCCCACTACAAATAAAACTAAAGAGAGTTTCCATTTGTGTGGGACACAGAAAACAATTTCGTCAGTGCATCATAGATTTTTCTAAGATATAAAAATAACATTTGTTCATCATATACAGTTTGTAACTAGAGAAAAATGTACAAAATAAAATGGAATTATCTCTAATTGCATCACACGTAGGGAATTCCTGTGAATCACTGTTCACCTTTGAGAGCTTGCCCTAATAAACTTGTTTAAAGACATAAATAATAGGCCACTATCTAAGGCATAATTGTATATTTTGCAATTTAACACTGCATAAGGAGTAACTTCCCATGTCATTAAAATTTCTTAAGATCATCATAATAATTGTATAATATTTCCATCTAAAGGATGTACCATAATTAATTAGACCATTCATCTATAGGTTTAAGTAAAACAGTAAGGACTATTTTAGTTTATCAATCTTTGTCTGAATTTCTGATCATTTCTACATCCATGGAATGGATTACTGCTTGAATGGGTATGAACATGTTCAAGTCTCTTTGTTTTAAAAGCAGTCATTCTCGTAGTAACTACAGTATTTGCCAAGCAATGACTTATGACCAGGAACTATAAAAAACGCTGGAGGTATAGCAATAAACAGAAAAACAAAAAAAACATTCCCTGTCTTTGAAAAGATTATCTGCTACTAAGATGACCTTCAGACAAACCTCCAGCCATTGCATCATCTAGGGGAAGGGCATTTCAGATAAAGGGAACAGCAAGTCCAAAGGTAAAAGCATAAGAAAATGCTTGGCCTATTTTAGGAAGTGAAAGGAGACTGGTGTCTCTAGAGTGTGTTTAGTCTGGGGAACAGTCTCATTTCAGGTTGAGACTTAGGAGCCAGATCATGCATAGACTGGTGGGCCAGGGCAAGGAGAAAGGGCCAGGGCAATGGGTAGGCAGGAACTGTTCATCAGTAGCGAGGGACAGAAACTATGTTTTGAAAACTCTCATCCTGGTTCATACGTGGAGAATTAAAAAGAAGTTATGAGTCCTAATGGAGATCCCAGTGAGGAGGCTGCTGCAGTAATCTGTGTGCCAGAAGGTGGCTAAGAAGATCAAGAGAGGCAGACTAATTTGATATATACTTTGGAGTATATGGAGTATATAAGCACATGGCAGCTGACCATCAAATAGTTACAGGAAGTTGAGGAAAAGGAGGGGGAGAGGTGATTGAAGATACTTCCTAAACAGTGTGCTTGACTAAATGGGTGGACGCTGGACAGTATGGTACTATTACATACATGGGGGTCAGTGGCAAAAAGAAATCTGTTTCAAACATATTAAGTATGAGTTGCCTATTAGACACCAAGTTGAGATATCAAAAACACAAATGGTCTTAGAGTTGGGAGTGGGAGATATGGAGTGGTGAGAAATATGAACTTGGAAATATCAGTAGGAATGAAGAGTCAAAAGAGAGGTTGTTAAAGATGGCAAGTGGCAGCATGTTTACATACTGATGGGAATAATCCAGGAGAGACAGAGAAAGAAATTGAAAATGCAGGACATAGAGAGGATTAGTGAAAAACTGATGTCCTGAGAGAACTCTGGGAGACAGTATAGAACGTGCCTCAGAGGTATTCCAAATAAGGTGTGTAGAAGCTGGAAATTTATTCACAAGTACCATCAGTCACAGGTTGAGGGATGCTCCCCGGGGTGGGGGGGGGTGCGGTTAATTCCCCAGCATTTCTGGCCTGCCCTGGACATGAGCTAAGACCATCCTGGTGAGCAGAGAAACCCATCAGGCAAAGACTCCTAAGTGCTTGCATTTAGAAACCAGTGGGGTGGCATACACAGGAATGGTGAGTCCCAAGGGTAAATGAGGCGCTAAGAGGGTCTTCTACTCTGTCCTGCTTGATGTTTTTTCCATGGAATTTGAATCTTAAAAATAGAGATGAGACTGAAAACAACAACTCTGATTGACATTGAATAGGTGTCGAAAAACAAGAAGGTGTTTTAGCCATAGCCTGTGCCTCCCATACAGAGAGACCTGAATTGGGGACTTCAATTAATGTTAACCTCTCTGGGTCTCAATACCCTAATCTGTAGAATGGTAGGAGGTAAGTATAAAGAATAGGGCTTCTTTACAACTCTTATTTTCAATTATTTGAATTTATCTGTAGGGGAATTCCCCTTCGTCCTCATTAGATTATCCAAGCATTCCAAAAGGTACTTAATATCTGCCATATAACCATTCAGCTTGTTACATTCTACCTTTTGAGTATCTACTCTTTACTAGTTACTATTCAAAGCATTTTGTATATATAATATCTGTAATCACGATAGCAATCATCTGAGGAAGTTAACACAGTTCCCATTTTAGAGGTGAAGATTCTGGATCTGAGCGGTGATTTGATTTACCCGAACTCAGATCCTTCAGACTTGCCAACACTTGTTTCTTATACTGCAGGACAGTGAGGTGGCGATGACTATCTCTGCAAGGAAAAGGAATGGGGAAGCTGTATCTGACTCTTCACTCTCAGCAAATACGGTGATCGCCGATGCTGATCTGAGAGCAGCATGAGACTATGGGAAGCCTTTCTCCAAATTCAGCCCATCATTCCACGTTCACTTCTCTTTTTGGATCTTTGAGCAGTACTGAAGAGGGTACACGAGGATTCCGGAGGATACCGACTAATCTGAACTTTTTAAGCCCACAGAATTCCTTGTTATTATTAATTTCCTCTTAGACTGAAGCAAGTAATGGTCGACCACAATAAAGATGGCGATAGCGGCTTCACCACGGCAACGGCGACGCCATTCGCCCACAAGCGCGTCAGTACCATTTAGTTCCGGCCCGCCAGTTTGACGTCACTTCCTGCCCTGCCACAGTACGTGCCTTTCTTCTTCCTTCGGCGGTGGATGAATGGAGGAAGGTGAGCGGGCTCTGATCAGAGGGAGACTCACGGAGGGAATCCGAGAGAATGTGGGGCCAGCAACATGGACAGGGAAGGTGGGAAGCCCGTGGCTGTTGTCGCAGTTGTGACTGAGCCTCGATTTACCCAGCGATACAGGGAATATCTCGAGGAGCAGAAACTCCTGGATAGACAGCACCGCGTGGAAAAGCTGCCGGATGGCACCGTGGCGCTCCCCGTGCTGGGAGAGGCCGTCCCTGAGCAGCACCTGCGGGAGCTGAGGAATCGTGTGGCCCCAGGCAGCACCTGTATGCTAACGCAGCTCCTGGATCCTGTTCCTTCAAAGAAGGCCCAGGGTTGTTCACCTGCCCAAAGGCTGTGTCTCGAGGTGAGTCGCTGGGCAGAGGGCCGGGGAGTGACGTGGTCAGCGGAGTTGGAGGATGATTTGCCCCGATCTTGGCAACGGCATGGTAACCTCGTGTTGTTGAGTGAGGACTGTTTCCAAGCCAAGCAATGGAAAAATCTGGAACCAGAACTCTGGAAGACTGTTGCCTCGGCACTTGGCGTCCAGCGTTTGGCCAAACGAGGGCGGGTATCACCGGATGGTACTCGAACTCCAGCAGTGACTCTGCTGCTGGGTGACCGTGGCTGGGTCGAGCATGTGGACAATGGAATCCGATATAAGTTTGACGTGACCCAGTGCATGTTCTCCTTCGGAAACATTACTGAGAAACTTCGAGTGGCATCGCTGCCCTGTGCTGGAGAAGTGCTGGTGGATCTCTATGCAGGGATTGGTTATTTTACATTGCCATTCCTAGTTCATGCTGGTGCTGCTTTCGTCCATGCCTGTGAGTGGAACCCCCATGCTGTAGTCGCTCTGAGAAATAACCTTGAGATCAATGGAGTAGCAGATCGGTGCCAGATACACTTTGGGGATAACAGAAAACTAAAGCTCTCCAGTATTGCAGACAGGGTGAATCTGGGACTGATTCCCAGCTCTGAAGAAGGCTGGCCCATTGCCTGCCAGGTGCTCCGACAGGATACTGGGGGCATTTTGCATATCCACCAAAATGTGGAATCTTTCCCAGGGAAGAATCTTCAGCCTCTTGGAAGCAATGAAGTGGAGAAGGAGCATTGGCCTTATCCTCAGCAAATTACCACCAACCAATGGAAAAATGGGGCTACCAGGGATTCCAGGAGAAAAATGCCGTCAGCAGCCACCAAGCCAGAGTGGCAAAGGTGGGCGGAATCTGCAGAAACTCGCATTGCCACTCTTCTTCAGCAGGTGCATGGGAAACCGTGGAAGACACAAATCCTGCTCATCCACCCAGTGAAATCCTATGCTCCCCATGTGGATCACATAGTCGTCGATCTGGAATGCCGCCCCTGTCCTCTAGTTGGCTAGAGAAGGTGGATCCTGAGACACAAGGATCTACGTGTGAGTGATCCTTGATGCATCAGCTCAGGCCGGTTCTCATCCCCCTTGTCTCCTGGTAATCTATTTTAATATTTTGTGGCCCTGAAAGCAGGGCCAAAACCAGTCCAGATCATTTCATTTATCTTCCATTAACATGTTGAGAATGCCTACATATCTGGGAGAAGCAGTGTGGTCATTGAAATGAGGCCCATCTGTGCAAACATGAATTCCGACTTCTGACCTCCGTCCTATCTGACCTTGGGGACAAGTTTCCAATATTCTTTGGGCTTGGATTTCCTCATTTGCAAAAGGAGGGTTTCTTTGAACTGTCTCACATGGCTATTATCTAATAAGCTGTTGTACACGGGGCATTGGTTATTTTAGAGTGAAAGACATGTGCTGTTTCCAAAATCACTCCAGCTACAATATGGAAAATCAACTGGAGGGGAGCCAGGATGGAAGCAGGGAGACCAATGAGGAGGTTGTCCAGGCATGAGATGATGGTAGCTTGGACTAGGGTGGTGGCAGTGGGAGGGTGGATGGCTTTGAGAAATAAAATTGACGGGACTAAGTAATGGAGTCCAAATCAAAGCATTAAAATAGTGCTGCTTTGTTAGTATGAATGGCTAAATTAGGGAGGGAAGAGGGCAAAAATTACTCTTGTGTATGAACTCCATTCCCCTACTTGAGCATTCTTAAATGAGTGTGTGCATAGGGAGGATGTCTTATATATTACGTATATTGTGGTAGAAAAAGGTTTAAGAATGACTGCTTTAAATCATAGGGAAACTACATTTCCAGCCTTAAGCTTGTGCAGTAGCTGCCAATTGCCAGCTATTTTTAAAGTTCAAATTAAAATCTTAGATTTTTACAGCCCTCAGACTCCCTTTTCATCTTCCTTCCCTGGCTGACAACATCAGGACCAATGTAAGGAGCTATAGGCAATGAGAGACATTCTGCAGAGTTTTTCAAGCCTCACTTTATTTCATGGCTGTCTGCCATCACCACTGGTTATCTTTGGAACCACTAATTGTAGAGAATCACTCTGTTTGCCTTTGGGATGACTAATTGTCAAGAATCGCTTTTCAGAGCTTTGTTTTGGTGCACTTTGAAGCCATCTGGCCTGTTTGCCTGATGAAGGAAATATAGAAAAGTGTGACTTTATCAGGATTATGATTGTACCTGGCATTTGGCTGGCTGGATTGGGCTGGGCTGTTTGTCCTTCTATTGCAACAGTGGCAATTAGCACAGGATTGGTGCTGTTTGTGTTATTCCACAAATATTAAGTGCCTACTATATACATGAGCCGCAGGAAATATAAAGATACATTAGATACAGTCCCTGTCTCTGAGGAGCTCACAACCTAGCAGCAGAAATAGATAAATACTCAAAGGATTGGAATACAATAAGTGCCATATGAATGATAACAAGTTGTAGGAGCGCAAAGGGGGGGAAGAAAAGTTCCGGGAATTGAATGGAGAAGTCTTCAGAGAGGTAGTGTTTGAATTGGCTCTTAAAAACTGAGTAAGACTTTGCTAAGTGGAGTCAGGCTGGAAACAGATGCTAGTTGAAGAGAATTACAGGTGCAAAAGTTTGAATGCTCAGAAAATGTTTGCAACATTGTCATTAGATCAATTTGGAACAGAAGCAGTGAGAGATGTGTTGAAGATAGGGGTTATTGTAAGGATCAGAGAGAACAGTGTCTTGTACACAGGAAGCCCCCAGGAAATGTTAGCTAGTGTGTGATCCCACCACAGAAGGGGGAGACTGCTTGTTTCCATTCTTGTCCCACAGAATGGCCTTCCTGCGTTTGCCTTAATCATCTCTCCTTTTACATATTGGGTTTCTTCCAGCGTGTGTGCCTACAGCTTTCTCTCCTCAAACTAAAGATGCCAAGCTGGGGGCTTGAGCCAGTATGAGGAGGAAGGCAGGGGAGAAACAATGAGGAAGATGAGTCAGTGAGCCACATGTCCAGGGGATGAGGAGTTACCTTCCTGCCATAAGCTATGCAGCTGATGTCAGGTGCACCCAAATGAATTCATTCAACCTGTTGTATATATCAGGTCCTGAGTGTTCAGTGGTGAAAGAAGATTGACATGGGCTCTGCCTTCATAGAATTTAGGTTCCACTCATTCAACTCCTGGCTCCCCTTCTTTCTGTGTGACCTGAGGCAAGTCATGAATCTCTAGATTTAGTTTCCCCATCTACATTAGGGTTAACAATTGTACATATCCTGAAGGGTAGTTGTTAGGTTTAAATGAGTTAACATATGTCATCACAATGACTGGCATATAGTGAATACTTCATTCAGTCAGTCATTGTATAAGGTGAACTACTGTTTCCCAATTTTGCCCTGAGGGATTGCTGTATATTTGGTTTACTTAAAGTGGAATGTTCTTATTTTGAAAAGCCATTCATTGATTAATTAGGATATACTGTGCACTGTCTCCATCAGGCACTGTGCTGAGGGCCAGGGACATAGAGGTGAATAAAGCTGAGTTCTGCCCACAATGGGATCACTATCTGGTGACATGGACACAGAGGAAACAAGCTCAATCCTATGTACTAAGTGCTGAGATAGACACAAACAGGTTTTTAGGGGCACACATGGGGGAGGCAGCCACCCACATTTGGGGGTCTTGGGGGGGGAGGTGGGGAGTGTGACTGGGAAGGTGGGAGCAGGGATGCCTAAGCTGAGAGTTAAAGGGTGAGCAGGAGGGCCCGCCCCATGGCTTAGCGGTTAAGTGCGCGCGCTCCGCTACTGGCGGCCCGGGTTCGGATCCCGGGCGCGCACCGACACACCGCTTCTCTGGCCATGCTTGAGGCCATGTCCCACATACAGCAACTAGAAGGATGTGCAACTATGACATACAACTATCTACTGGGGCTTTGGGGGAAAAAAAATGAGGAGGATTGGCAATAGATGTTAGCTCAGAGCCGGTCTTCCTCAGCAAAAAGAGGAGGATTAGCACGGATGTTAGCTCAGGGCTGATCTTCCTCACAAAAAAAAAAAAGAGTGAGCAGGAGTTATGTGTGAATGGAAGAAAATAAGCGTCCCTTAAGCCTTTTCTCCACTTGATTATATCCATTTACATTACAGTTTTCTCCGGGCACTTGCTGGATTGGCCTGGTCAGGAAGAGGCATCTAATGGAACCAAGGAAAAAAGTCCGAAAGGGTCAGGAGGCGTATGGAGTCCTTGTCACCTCAATCCAGGAATCTGTAAAAGCTCTAAAGGCTTCCTTTGTGAGTTTCAGTATTACTTCCCAGTTAATGCTCCCACTTAATGGAGATGTGATTAAAAACAATAATAATTTTATTAAACTCCCTCAACCGTGAGCTGCTCTATTATTAACTCTATAATTTTAATAAATTATGTGCATGTATTAATATATGAGTATAATGTATACATTTTAAATATACATATAAATTTAAAATGATGTCGGGCCGGCCCTGTGGCTTAGCGGTTAAGTGCATGTGCTCTGCTGCTGGCGGCCCGGGTTCGGACCCCAGGTACGCACTGACGCACCGCTTCTCGGCCATGCTGAGGCCTCGTCCCACATACAGCAACTAGAAGGTTGTGCAACTATGACATACAACTATCTACTGGGGCTTTGGGGGGAAAAAAAAGAAATAAATTATAAATTTAAAATGATGAGAAAAATAAATAGAAAAAGCATCTTTAATTCGGTTTCTCCTACCCTAGGCACATGTGAAAAGAAACCCAATATATGTCATTCTGAACAGCCTCAGGGTACAGCCACATCACATGGGGCAAGCCATAAACTAGTCATTTTCAAACTAAACTATTACTTTAAATGATTACAACTATTTAAATGTTTTTAAAAACTGTAATAGGGGCCGGCCCGGTGGCGTAGCGATTAAGTGCACGTGCTCCACTGCGACGGCCCAGGGTTCACAGGTTCGGATCCCGGGCATGCACCGACGCTCTGCTTGTCGGGCCATGCTGTGGTGGTGTCCCATATAAAGTGGAGGAAGATGGGCACGGATGTTAGCCCAGGGCCAATCTTCCTCAGCAAAAGGAGGAGGATTGGCATTGGATGTTAGCTCAGGGCTGATCTTCCTCACCAAAAAAAAAAAAATTGTAATAAAAACCCAGCCCAGCTCATACATTGCTAGTGGGATTGTAAAATAGTGCAAGCACCTTGGAAAGCAGTTTGGCAGTTCCTTAAAAAGTTGAACATAGAGTTACCATATGACCCAACAGTTCCCCTTGATCTATACCCAAGAGAAGTGCACACATATGTCCACACAAAAACTCATACATGAATGTTTTTAGAGGTGTTATTCACAATAGTCAAAGTGTGAAAACAACCCAACAGTCCGACAGCTGATGAATGAATAAACAAAATGTGGTATATCTGTACAATGGAACCTATAAAAAGGAATGAAGTACTGATACATGCTACAACGTGGATGAACCGTGATAACATTATGCTAAGAGCAAGAAGCCAATCACAGAAGTTCACTTGTTGTATGATTCTGTTTATATGAAAAGGCCAGAATAGGCAAATCCATAGAAACAAAGTAGTTTGCCTGGGCTGTGGGAGGAGGGAATGGGGAGTGACTGCTGGTGGGTACTGGGTTTCTTTTTGGGGTGATGAAAATGTTCTGAAATTAGATAGTGATGATGATTGCACCACTCTGAATGTATTAAAAACCACTTAATTGTATACTTTAAAAGGGTGAATTTTCTAGTGTGTGAGTTATATCTCAATAAACCTACTGAAAAAAGAAACAATTTGAGAGGAGACAAGGAAGAAGCTTGGCAAAGTCTTCCTGAAAGCCTGAGCTGAATTTTAAACTTATTCATAGGGGTCAGCCAGGTAAAGGCAGAAGGAAGTGAGGGCCCCTCAGACTCTTCCAGCCTAAGCCATTTCTGTCTCATGGAAACTCTCTCTTGGTGTGCCCATCAAGGGACGAATGGATAAAAAAGCTGTGGTATATATACACAATGGAATACTACTCAGCCATAAGAAACGATGAAATCCAGCCATTTGTGACAACATGGATGGACATTGAGGGCATGATGCAAAGTGAAATAAGTCAGAGGGAGAAGGTCAAATACCGTATGATTTCCTTCATTAAGTAGTAGATAATAACAACAATAAACAAACACATAGGGACAGAGAAAAAAAAAAAAAAAAAAAAAAAAAAATAGGGACAGAGAAAAAAAAAAAAAAAAAAAGAAACTCTCTCTTGGGTCTCACTTTACATTCTTAAATTACCATTATGCCCTTTCTCTAGACCATTCTCCAAGTTGTTCCCAGGAACCTTTTCACTGGGGCCTAGAGGGTGTTCACTCACTGTAGGAGATGCTGAGGTTGACTCACATAATACCCATCCCAATGCCCCTTGCTTTTAGCATCCTCTACAGGGAGGCTGGGCAATGAAAGTCCTTGATTTCCCAGCCTTTCTTGCAGCTCGAGTGGCCATGTGAACCAGTTCTGGCAAGGAGATGTAGGCAGAAGTCCCCAAAGAGGGTTTTGGTGCTTCAAGCCTTCCTCTTTCTTTGACGTCCTCTATTTACCTGTGATGCAGCAGCAACATCTGGAGGTGCAGCAGCCATCTCTCCAGGCACGCTAACGTTGGCGGAGCAGCATCATGCGAGGAGTCTTATTTCTTTAAGAGATCCTTGAGCAGTTGCATCAGGCCTAGAATGCCTGTCTCTGAACTTCTTGTCCTATGGGGAAAATACCGCCTACACACTTATATTATAGGTTACTGTCAGAATTT